GGAAAGGCACACCCTGTACCAGAGAGGAGGACTCTGACTTTGTAAGAGATTTTTTTCTATACTGTTTTTTCCTGTAGTTCATCCCAGCAAAATATGAAGTTACTTGATCTTGCAGAGCTATGCAGGTCTGGGCTTAAAGGGATATTGTTTTGCAGTCTAGTCCCAGGACTTAAAGGGATATTGTCTTCCAATCTAGGCCCAGTACTTTAGGATTTTTCTGTCGTAATAAAAGGAAACCTTTCAAAAGCTATTACTTGGAAAAAAATAGTTGTTTGGGGTTTTTTTTTCTCAATGGGAGGTAAAATGCAGAGGCAAACTTTCCTTTGGAATGCTTGGAGTCCCAGTATTTCAACTTTGTGATAATGCAAGAAATGCCCAACAAGGAACAAAATCACTCCCACGAATGAAACAGAAAGCGAAACTTGATTGAAGTTCAAAAACTAAATTCAAAACAAAAGGAAAATAGATTTTTGAAGCAGTGTGTAAGAATTTTGATGCTAAATTTTGAAATGTAGCCTTACTCTGTTCCTTTGCATAAAGTTTCTACAAAAATGGCTACTTGACAGACTAATTTTTTTTGTTACATTTCTAGGAGCTCTGCTCTTGACTATCCTGTCACAGCTGTGTTGTGTCAGCAAAACTGTTTTGAATTCCTCACCCCCATTAGCATGGGTGACTCACAGTGAACATACAACACTTATTGACAGAGATAATACTGGAACTAGGAAAAAACAGTAAAGAGAAACATCTGTGCCAGTTTTCCTCCCAGTGCACATCCTTGGTGTGTGATCAGGCAGCATCCCAAGCACATTTTGATTTTTGCCATTGTGACCCACCCTCCATAAGCACCTCCATGTCCACTGAGCCATTTGTGTATGTTCTAGCTTAGTTTGCCCTTCATAGTGCAGGAACTCTGTGTAGCCCTTTTGAAAATGAAGCCTTGCTGTATCATGGAAGTGTATGGGTTTTTTTCCCAAGGTATTTCTTCAGGATTTGATTTAGTTCTTGGAATTGCCAAAACCCCCATTTATTCCCAACATGTAAAAAGTCCGGTTTTATTAGAAGATATTAATTGAAAGAGGTTATAAATGTTGCATTGCCCTATGATGAACACTTTGGTTTCTGTTTTGTGACCAAAATGCTTTGTTTTTTGAATCAGTTTTTATAAACACTGTTGGAAAGTTAATTTTTTTTTTAATTATTTTGAAGAAATAGCAGAGTTCGAAATCAGGGGAAGTGTTACATGTTTGCATTTTTTTACATGATATGCCAAGCCTTGCACTCAAGTTAAAATTCAAGATTCTTTAATTGATTTTGAGGGAAACTTTTTCTCTGCCATGGGGCTGAAGAACACTCCTGTGCATAAAATCAAAACCAAAAAAATTATATTATGGATGTTTCTTTAACAATGGGTTTCAAGGGAAGGAAAATGAGGTCAGGTAGTAAAGCAGAAATATTTTCCTCATTGCTTTAAAACAAAATGAAGGAATTGGATGTCATTGGGACCATTCTTTGAACACCATACGATGTAAGGAAGGCTTTGTAAGAATACCTTTCAATAAGTTATTATAAATTTTTTCCTTTACATTCCATTGCTTTCATAATTTGTTAACTTTTTTTTTTTTCAGTTGTTTTGTTTCTATTTCCTCTCCATGTGTAACAGCTCTGTCACTGTGGAACTGTGATGCCCCAGGTCCCAAGAGGCAGATCCCCACTTGCAGAAGGCACAGCCTGCAGTGCCAGCAGCCCTGGGCTCTCAGGGGGCTCCCCAGCACATCCAGCACAGCAGGATGCAGCAGGGACACCCCTTCTGTCTGTCTGTCTGTCTGTCTGTCTGTCTGTGGGGACAGAGGGACTGTTCACACAAACACATCTCAGCCAGGGGCTGTTTGTCCTTCTGCTTCTTCTACCTCTCCCTGCCCTGGGCCCTGGGACTCTGCATCCCTGGGGCTGCAGGCCAGGAGGGCACTTGGGAGTTCTGGGAATTCCTTCCTGAGCAGGAACATGGATCCAGTTCTCTCTCCCTGATACCCCCTGGCTCAGCTCAGGCACTCAGGTGTGATCTGGGAGAGTTTTGGTTCCTGTCCCAGGACAGGTGGGGTTTAGGTGCATTGTAATGAAGGCTTCTGTACCTTTGCTCTGCAGCCTGGGAAAACAGGCTGAAGTTATGTTTAACAAAGAAGACAGAAGAAAAGTTGTGACACTGTTTTCCTTCTCCCTCTGTTCAAATCCAAGGTAAAACAATCCTTAAGACTTGAGCTTTCTCGTGATGCAACTCAGTACTTTTTAGCATTCAGCAACTTGAAGGATTTTCTGCTATAAATTAATCTAAACAACATTAACTGTGGCATATTATGTGGCCTTAAATGATGTTCTTTGTGTCTTGCCCATCAAAGTAGCAAAATGTCTTTCTTTTTTAGCAAAAGCTGATACATGACAGCCAATTTCAGAATTTGTTGTTCTTTTATCACATGAGCAAGCATGGAAACAATTTTCAGTTGAGTATGTTAGATGTATTTTCATACAGCCTAGGAAAAGTAATCAGAGTAAATGTCTGTTTTGTTCAATAGCTTTGTGTTCATGGTCAGGTTTTAGGAGGTTTTTTATTTGAATTACTTGGAAAAGCAAAATATCTTGAAAGACATATTAATGGGATTTTTCCACATTGTTGAGTCTCATTATTCCATGTCTGACTGCTTGAGGAACTTCAATGTCTTATTAAATGTTGAATTTTATTCCTAGTTATTTAAGAAGTTGCTAAGTCTCTTTTGTAAAACAGCTCTATATACTTACTTTGGCACTTTTTTTTTTTCCTTGTAAGAAAAAAGTGGAATTGATACATCCTGAGCAAGCATGGTTTGGCAGTGAGGGCTTTGTTCTCTCATAGGGAAAACGTGCATTTCAGGCCTACATAAGAGATGCACTGGAAATGCTGTTTTTATGCTTCCTCAGAGGTGATAATGATTGTGCTGTGGCTTGTTTTCACACTCTTGCTTGTCACAGAACTGCTGACATTTCTTGCAATCCAGTTTTTCCAGTGCTGCTCTCTGTTGCTCATGATTTTTGGCTTTTGTGCCGCTGAGCTGGGGCTACCCAGCCCAGCCAGCGCTGCTCCCTCAGGGTCCTTTTGCTGTCACAAATGCTGCTCCTGCTTGCTCAGGTCTGAGTTTGACTCTGGCTTTTTCACACAGGTTTTTTTGGGTCTGGTTTGGCTTCCCCTGTGGAGTCTCCCATGTGTGACAGTAGCTACAATTTTTATAAAAGCATTTGAGAGATCTTTGATACTGGTGGCTGATGGTTCTGCTGAGGTCACCTGGTGCTGTGCAGCGGGATTGTGTCCCTGTGCTGCTCTGGGGAAAAGCACAGCCTTGGGCCAGGGAGGAGCTTCATGTCTCATCTAAATCAGCAGTGGGAGAGGCTGCATGGAGCTCTGCCCCTGCTGGGCTCTGGGGAGGGCTTTAGGAACCATCCCTCCTGCTGCTGATCCAGAACAGAATCACAGGATGGTTTGGGGTGAAAGGGACCTTAAAGACCTTCCACTTCCACCCCCTGCCATGGACAGGGACTCCTTCCCCTGGACCAGGCTGCTCCAACCCGGCCTTGAACATTGCCAGGGATGAGCAGCCACAGCTTCTCTGGGCACCCCCAATGGCTGATGTGCCACTCTTGCACCCAGTTCCTCACCTGATGGGGATCAGAGAACTGATAAATTCTATAAATTCTTTTAAAAACTTCTAACACCTTCCCTGGGGAGAGGAGAATGATGGGCTGAGGGCAGGAACCACTTAACCCCCCCACAGCTGGGCTCCTTCAGCCATCTGTGCTGCTGCAAGATTCAGAGAGAAGTAACACCTGCCACCACCTCTGTGCAGAGCCATTTAAAATCGGGGCTCTTTTGACAGAGACTCTGTTTCTACTGGCCATGGAGAGCTGCTGAAGCACAGCACTGGCACACAGGGTCACAGCTGGCTGGGCTGGGCTCACACAGCACCTGTGTGGGAATGTCACTGCAGCAGGAAAAGGAAAACAAGGTGGGAAGGTCAAGAGGCCACAGGTACTGGTTTCATGGAGCAGTTGGCACTGGCTCCAGTAGAGGTGATGTTGAGTTTTTTCTGGGCATTTCTGACTGCCTGGGATGCTGGCTAAGAAAAAAACATAACAGGGGACACAGAGCAAACAACAAATTAAGAGTCAACCAGCCACACACAGGAATCATCTCTGGAAAATACAAATCATATCAGTTTAACCAGATGGTTACACTGGGCTGGGTGCACAGAGGAGGGCTTGGAGTGCCACAGCAAACAGGCACAAACCACTCTGGTGCTCTCCTGGGTGGAGTTGCAGCGTCCAGGACCAGGGACAGAACTTTGCCCAGGCATTTGGGCAGGGGTCTCCTACAGCCCCTCAGGATGCAGAAAGGGGCAGGGCATCCTCTGTGCCTGCACCTTGCTGCTCCTTTGTAGCTCCACCCTGAGCACCACCTGGCAGCAGGAAACAAAAGGGACTTTTGTCCAGGAATCAATAATTTCTTTTGTTGCACATGTTTGCCCACAGCTGAAAGGAAGGGGAGAGCTTTAGGATCCCTTCCCTTGACTTGTGCTTATGCTAAAACTTTGAGAATGGGTAACAAAATAAAAACTTGCATGTTTTTAAAAGGAGGTATATTCATGTTAGTTTGTGCTTGGGTGGAAACGAGTGTTGTATCAAAGAGACCTCAATAATGAGCAGTCACTCCTCACTCTGTTGAGCTGACTATTAAAATGGAGAAACATGTAGGATTGATTGCTTTTTGGGGCTTTTTTCTCCCTGATGAAACGAGAAAAGTATTTATGAAGGAAAGTATTTGTAAAGGAAGCTGGGAATTGGAAAGGGAAGACTTTTCCCACCAGCCCAGTGCAGCAGAGCAGGGGCTGGCTTGGTTTGCACAAGTAGCCACAACTCAAAAACTGAGTTTTCTTCCCCAGCACTGATTTTAGCTGTACAGAAATAGGTTGCTCGTGGTTAAACACCTTGCCCAGAGCCCCGTTAGTGCTGCCCCAGGGGAAGGAGAGGCTGCTGGCCCTCCAGAGCTACCAGCCAGCATAGACGGGCTCCGTGTGCTCCGTGCCCCCGTAGGAGCCCAGCCCTGAGCCCCGGGGCAGCAGCGGCGACTTCAGGGAGCTCCTGCCGTGCTTCTGTCGGCTCCTCAGGATGATCAGAAACACAACAAGGATTCCACCTGGAAAGGAAGGAAGGAATGGTAGTTATTCACAGATGGGAAAGTAAAGTATCAGGTGATGTTTGCTCCAAGGGTTCTCAACTCAGGTATTCTCTTCTGGTAAAATAAGGAGTTTTTTCCTCCTACATACTCTGTCCCCCTCCAAAAAGAGGGGGGGAAAAGGTTCCACTAGCACTAAAAACACTCAACTTCAGCAGTTCAGCTTAACTCTGCAAGGAATAATGACAAGTTTTAATTAAATAATTCAGTAACTTGCTTTCCTACTCCCATTTACTCTCTAGAAGTTTTCCACTTGGCATCTTATTCACTGCAGACCTCACCAAAACGATCTTGCTGAGAAATTAGTTTGCTCTGTGCAGCACTCACACTGAAGCACAAGTAGTAACTAACCTAGATTAACTCTGAGTCTAGACTGAGATCAGGGCTGTCAGGAAAAATTACTTTTGGATTGGGCATAGACACGGAAGTAATTGGCAAATCTCAAGTGGTGCGACATTCTGCTCATTTGTTTCTGGCAGAAGCATCACCAGAGAAAACTGATCTGAACAGAAGAGCACAAATCTGTCTCTGTGATGCAATATGGCCATACAAATACACCCAAATTTCAGTTGTGTGAGCAGACAGCCTCATGGCAAACACTTGATCTGTGAGACCAGCCGTGAAAAACTCGCGGGTTCCTGCGTGGGCTCCTTCCTTCCCCCTCTCTGCTGCAAGCTCTGGGAGAGGCAGGAATGCTGTTCCCTGACCCTCAGACTTGTTTATCGCAAATGCTGCTTAATGGGCCATTGTCCCTCTCTGGGCAGTCTTTTCATATCCTTCAGTTTAATCTACTTTTTCAAATTAACACTCGCTTCAGATGGCATCTGCTTTGGCAGATTTTTGGACAACAGCCTGGCACAAGGGGATAGGGGTCAGTGGAGGGCCTTTGTCATGGCTCCAAGCTGCAGCTTGTGACAACAGCCCTCATCTGCTCCCCCAGGCATTCCAGCCCCATGGGGACACCCTCCGAGGGTGCTGCTGGAGCTCCTGCAGACCCTGCTGTCCTTGTCCCCTGCTCACTGCCAGCAGACAAGGGTGATTGGGAACACACATCTTGTGGGAGAAGCAGCTTTGCTGTGTGACTTGTAACACATGCATTTAACCTCTCCTCTCTCCTTTTAACAACAGCCAGCCAAGTGGAGTCTTCAGGAAGCACATAAAAGTCTTCATGGGTCTTCAGGAAGGACATAAAATACACTTGAAACACAGAAACTGTGAATGTGAGGCTTGTTGGATATTCTTTATCCTCTGATGCCTTACTCATCTCTATGACTTGGCTCTCTTGACACAAGATTCTCATCTCGGGTAGTGTAAGGGCACTTAAGGATTTCTCTTCATCTCTCTGGGCACAGGAGACAGATTCCTCCTCCCAGCTTCCTCATCTGCCCTTCTTGCAATCCACAGCACCAATACTTGCTCATTTTCATCATAACTCTCTGATTAAACCTCCCCCCAACTTTGATTAAAAAACGAGAGAACTCTATTTTTTCCTTTCCTAAGACTCAAAATGCATATTCATTGTTTTGGAATGATTATCCATGGTGCAGCTTCCCAGTTGAAAAGCTCACCCCCTCATTAGCTTGCCCCAGTGAGCTGATTCACAGCAGGTGCATCTGGAGGGATGCTCCCCACACTCAGCAGCTCCTGACTCTTGGGTACAAGCAACATTTGGCATCAATGCAACAGCACTGCATGAGCCAGCAGCTCCCCATTCTGCTGAAGGCTGTGGCATGGCTTAAGGCAGGAATGCTTTCAGGAAACACACCAAAAGGAAACTGTCTTTTTTCTTACTTTGGTGCAGCCAAGGAATCCCTGTTTGAGGGTCCACACACATCCCTGCCTCCCAGGGACAAACAACAATCATTCAGCACTGTGCCACCTTCCATCAGAGCAGGGGACAGCACTGGCACTTGTGCCACCTTCCCTCAGAGCCAGGAACAGCACTGGCACTTGTGCCACCTTCCCTCAGAGCCAGGGACAGCACTGGCACTCGTGCCACCTTCCTTCAGGGCCAGGGACGGCACTGGCACTGAGAGCAGCAGAAGGACTTTCATTAAAATCCTGCTGTCCAGAAACACAGAGCACACCACCCCGAGCGTGCCTGGTTTAACAGAGCTGCAGAGGGGACCCAGACTGACCTGCTGAGAAGGTGGCCAGGACAATGACGGTGGCAGGGGTCAGCTGGCAGGAGTCCCCTGCCTTGTACAGGAACAGCTCCATGCAGTAGGTGGGCTCCGCGCTGCCCCGGGGGCAGAAGGCATCAGGGGGGCACTTCACTGGCTTCACATCGGGGCTCTGCCCAAGAGAAGAAGTAAATCAGCACCAGCAAACTGCACAAGGTGACCAGGGCAAAGGGAGGTGACATTTTAGCATTAGAGGGGTGAAAAAAATAAATGGAGGAATGACCCTGCCATCATTAAACCCAGCCCTGTGTGCTCCTGCAGTGCTGGAGCGTGGGGAAGAGCAGAAGGGGTTGTTACACAGCAAGTCTGTACCTCAAACCCCTCATTAATGCACACACCACCCCCTCATGCCCCAGCCAGAGCAGGCAGCTCCAGCACACTCCTACAATCATCATTTTAATTATTCCCCGCATCAGAGCCCTGTCTATGTTTAAGAGAAAGGAAGCTCAGATAACAAGAAAAAAGGAAGTGTTAATTGAGGGGTATTTAACTTGTGTGGGACAGCTCTGGGCAGCACAGGCTGTCCCAGCTGCTCACAGGGGACTCACAGGGCAGTAGTGATTTTCTGGGCACAGCTCACAGCTCTCCTTGCCCCGCTGTAGTTGGTACTCCCCTGTCCTGCAGGCCTTGCATCTGCTGTCATTGGCACCTTTGAATGTACCTGAACAGCAAATAAGCACAATATTAAGATTTGAGACTAACCCCCAGGACCTTTGCAATTGCATATGAATGAATCAGCTTTCAGAGCCACGGGGAGAAAGAGCATTACGTGCTCATGTGCATAACAAAAGCTGAGCCTGGACTTTGGTCCTGGTTCGGTGGCAAAGGGTCAGAGCAGAACAAACAGGGACAGAGGGACTAAAGAAAATTTGGGGTCAGACCTTGGCAAACAGAGCAGTGTGAGTAGGAGTAGGTGGGAGAGGGTTTAGCAGGGAGTTCTGGCTTTAATGTAGGGGAAGATGGGAACTGGAGGTCAGCAGTGTTTCATCCTCTCCAATTCTGGATTCAAACACCTTTTCCAGCTGTTTGAAACTTGCTGAGCAGACTTCAAAGCACAGCTCAGTTTCCCAACCTTTGTGGGAGAGACAGGTCACAGAAGTTCCAAGTCTCACAGTGGTAAAATGCTTTCCTGCAATGTTTAAAGTGCAGCTGGGCTGTGAGACAGCCTGAGGCTGTGTCCAGGGAGGCTGGTCCCTGCCATGAGGGTGGCTGAATGCCTGCCCAGCCCTGCTGGGGCAGCCTGGGGTGTTTCAGAGAGCACAGGAGGGAGCTCGGCCATTCCCTCACATCCCCTCCCCATGTCCCTTTGCCCCAGGCTGCCCCTGCAGAAAATCCATCACTGACAGCAAGGCTGGGCTTTCCTCAGCAAAGCCACCACCACGGGCAAGATGCTCTTTGCTGGAGCCGGTACCAGCTGTGGATTTGGGCTCCTGGGGGTGCCAAGGACCAGCACAGCCCCAAGGTACTCATGAACCAGCCTGGCACAGCACAGCCTCCACCAGCACCCAGACAAACCCCCCAGCACATCCCTCATGCCAGGGCCCAGCTCTGCCTGCAGGACACCTGCAGGGCCAGCTGAGATGGGTCTGGAATGAGCCTGGAGCTGGAGCTGTGCTCCCTTTGGGCACAGCCTTCCCACATTGGGCACAGCCCCACATTGGGCACAGCCTTCCCACAGGCAACAGCCCCACATTGGGCACAGCCTCCCCTCGGGCACAGCCCCACATTGGGCACAGCCCCACATTGGGCACAGCCTCCCCTTACCTGCCGGGCAGGTCTCACACGTCTCCGCCGCCTCCCAAGGCGCCTCCTGTCCCCCAGGGCAGGGCCGGCAGCCGGAGCAGCCGCTGGTGCTGCAGGGAGAGGAGCAGGACACGCTGTGGGATCAGCACTGCCCAGCCCACCACAGCCTGCTCTGACAGCCTGGAGGCTCCAGGATCCACCTTTGCAGCACTGTGGGTGTCTGTCTGTCTGCAGTGCAGTTTGTCACGCAGAACCACAGAATGGTCTGACTGGAAGGGACCTCAAGTGTAGGGGAATGGAACATAGAATGTAATCTTACCCCCTAAAGAGTTGCAGCTGAGCCAATTATTAAGGATTAGGAGCAGGCCTGATGTTAACAGGCCACAGCTGTAGCCAGTCAGAAGGGTGTTATAAAAGAGTGGGTTGGTTGGTTGGGGGAACTGGAGTCAGTGGCTGCTGTGAGGACAAGGAAGACTCAGTGCTTAGAGGAGCTGCTTACAAGAAACATCAAGGAAGTACAAAACTCTGGCAATATGGAACCCTTGCCATGTAATGACAATAGAACTCTTGTGATATAATGACAACACTCAAGGATGATCTCACTCCAGCCCCCATGCATGGTCAGGGAGACTCGAGGAGGTTGCTGGAAGCCGCACCCTAGAGCTGCAATGGCAGGGGACTTTGGGCACTACATTGCTGGTTCCAGCTCAGTGGGGGCTAAAAGAACCCCCCTCCCTGTCCCTGTGAGCCCCTGCACCCCAGGAGCTCCTTACTTGCAGAATGATCCTGGCTGGCAAGGCAGACAAAAAGCTGCATTTTGCTTGGAGCTATAATAGCCTGGAAAAGAGAAGGGTAAGGCTTCAGGATGCTGCCTCCACATCTCTATCCTACATTGTTGTCACTGTGCTGACGTCCATTTTACAAACAACCAAACAACTCCCCACAAGAGGCTTCAGGTGGCATTTCAGGGCATTTGGGGTTATATTTGTCCAAAGCTCTGAGAGAGCAATGCAAGTTCCCTGCTGACCCCTGCCACATTGAGGGATGCATGGAGGGCTCTGGCAGATTCCCCTGGTGTTCCTCCCAAACCCAGCAAGTGACAGCCAAGTTTTGGGCACAGCCCAGCAGCTCAGAGGGTGGATTTCCAAGGAACAGTTGTGAATGCTCAAGCAGGACCCACTCTGGGTGCAGAGGAGCTGCTGCACTGCATGTGCTAATTGGGGTTTTGCATAAGCAGGTGCTGTTCTGCACATGCTGTTACCCCTCTGCAAACACACTGCACCAGGTTGCAGTGGCATTAGCCAGGTGCAAAGCAGCTCCTCTTGAAAACCCCAGTTTTAATGTGTGGAAAACAAGGAAAGTATTACACTTAATATTCAGAGCATTGTTTTCATTTAGGCAGAACATTGCCTAAATGAAAACAAAGATGGTTTATATTCATTTTTGCTATCAGAAATAGAGAATATTTTGCTTCCTAACAATGCTTCCCCCATTGTGCTAAAACTGAATTTCATAAAACTTTTTTCATTGCAGAATTAGCATTAACTTGTTGCAAAAACAAGCATGGCTGAGATCTGCTCTTTCCATTTTAATAACAACAGAATAGGGAAGAGATCTGCTGGGGTGTTTTTAGCTTGTTTACCCTTCAGTGCTTTTAAGTTACCTGGTAATTGCATCTGCCTCTGGGAAAAAGCACCATGTGATGAAAATGCATTTGGGTTGAACGCAGACCAAAGCCTACCTCGCTCACAGGCCCTGCAGGCTGCAGCCCCAGACTCATTGGCAAAATGTCCTGGTGGGCAGGGAAGGCACACAGAGCTCCTTGGGAGGCTGGGAGGGAAGGGAGCAGGGAGGAACACAATTTTAGGTCACCCAAGCCTCCATCCACTTGGAGAAGACAGAGCAGAACATGACACTGACTAGTCTAGAAATAGAGCAATTGTGAAAAAGGAGTTCGGGCAGGAAAACATTGGTTTGAACTCACCTGAATATTAAAGGTCCACTAAAAACCTGAAGTTTTCTGTGTTATTAGGATTAGAGATGCCCTGTGCCTGTGGGCAATATGGAAAGGGACCATCTGAATTGAAGGTCTTGAAAAATATGCTGTGGTCAGACCTAAAACCCTTGGCTTAAGTCAGACTCTTAAATCCACTCTTGAAAATGGAATAGGGAACGTGTTTGCTGTTCAGCATCCCTCAGGAATTTCACAAGGAGCTGCTCCTCCCTCATTGCTGGGAATCAGGAGCTGAAAAAAGGGACCCAAACCACAGGCAGTGACCTGAGAGAGCCCTGACCTTAAACAGCCGGGAATGTGGGAAAAGGGAGGGAACATGTCAGGAGGAGGGGAGGAAATGAGTGAGGCAAAGGCAGGCAAAGAGGAAGCTTTTACATCCATCACTAACAGAGCCAAATCCCTCTCAACAAGTATGTGGGGATAGGAATTTGATAACATACTCAGAGATGCTTTGGAGGAAAACAAGGACATGATCTTTAATTCCTTCAGAAACTGCAGGGCTGCATGAGATTTGCAGGGAAAAAAAATAAAATTAAAAAAAATACACCAAAAAACACCAAACCAAACCAAACCAAAAAAAAAAAAAAAAACCAAAAAAACCAAAAATCCCAAAAGCAACTGGAAACACAGCAAATGCTTTGCTGCAAACAAACCGATGCAAGGCCTGGGCCAGCCAGAGCCTCTCAAAGCTGGAGGCCAAATTCTCCAAAGAGCACAGAAATGTTAAATGGTTCCCTTGAAGCCCTGAGGCCCAGGCAGGCACCAGGAGATGGCCATGCACCCCTGCACCCCCAGGTCCTTCCAGATCCCCCCTTTTGGTCCCTGCCCTGGCACACCCAGCCCAGCAGGGCTGCCTGGCCCTCTCTGGCCCCTCTCCCACATCCCAAGAGCAGCAGCTCTGTGTGCCCTGACTCTGCTCCTGGCTGGTTTTTAAAGCAGTTTGGGGGCACGTTTTTAAGGCAGGTCCTCGCAGCACAAAAACTGCAAGGACAGAGCACAGAGGGAAGCACAGAGGGAGATCCTCCGGCACCTCAAGCTCAGGGGCTGCTGCCAACAAGCTGCACAGTCAGGTCACCCTTCCCACAGCCCAGGACTGACCCAAACGGAGCAGCTCCTCAATGGACACAGCCCTGGGAGGCTCTTGCCACCCCTGCTGTCCTTGCCACCCCACAAAGGACACAGCTGACTGCTTGCAGACATGGGTACAGCAAGAGAAAATCCAATAGCAGTGGAGAGAGCAGCACATGCCCATGTCCCCACAGCCAGGGGACATTGTACAGCACCCCTGGATCAGGCAGCCTGATGGAATTGTAAGGCTGGGCTCCTGTCCTGTCAGCTTTTCCACGCTCTGTCAGCTGAGAGTATTGCTTTAAATGCCAGCAACTCAAATGTAATGAGATGCCTTGGGGGCAAGAAAACAGGGATTGAGGAAGGAATTGGGCAAAGCAGGGAAATGGAGCCTGCTGGTCAGACATATCCCAGAGAAAAGCTGAAGAGATAAACTCACACCTCCCCACCACAAAACAACATGTTCCCTCAGTGCAGACAAAAGGCATGAGGGTAAAAAAGGGAAGCCCACAGAGGGGCAGCCTCAGCACAAGCACATCCACACCAAGCTTTCCTGATGAGGAGAATTCAGCCTCTGAGAAACAGCCCTGGCAGCACATTCCCTACAGCCTGTAGGAATCCACAAAATCAGAGGGTTTTGGCAAAGCTGCAAAGGGCAGGCCTCAGAGACAGTAGAACTGGGATTAGAGCTAAGCAGCAGCCATGAGATAGGTCAGCAGAAAAATTATTTAGAAAGTAGAAAAGCAAGGACAAATAGAACAATGGTCTGTGTATTAACGCTTGTCTAGAATAACTCCCTAAGCTACAGAAAAGTTTCTCTAGCAAGATATTAGGAAGTTTGAAGCTTAACAATGGAGCTCTGTGCATTGTGCTTTAAGGCTTACAAGTAGGTATCATATTTGAAATAAGCAGGCAGTGTTTAACCAAAGGTATGTGCTTATAGTGGTTGGATGGAACTACTGTCAATTTGCTTTTGCTTTGTGTGATTGGTCAAAAAACTTATAAAGTGAGTTGTAACATTAAGTTCTTTGTCTGCTGCCTGAGATGTGAGCTGATGGCATCTTCCCATTGTCAAAACCATGTAATGAGAGTGATGCTGACAAATACAACAGCTCAAGGCAGGTTCCACAGCAGCCCCGTCCCGTCTGTGATTTGTACACAGCCCCCGGCCGGCGATACAGCCCAAATGTCGCAGACATCTTCTGTGAAAATTCTTTTCTTAGGGTTTTTCCTGCTGAGAAGATGAGGCCTCAGAAACAAAATGTAAGCAATGGTTATCTGCTGCTGTGGAATGCAACAGGTGGATCCGTGATTGGTCTTGTGTGGATGTTTGGATTCAGTGACCACTCACGGCAGAGCTGCTCTCTCTCTCTGTCTGAGCCAGCTGCTTTTGTTTTCATTCTTTTCTATTCTATTCTTTTTAGTATAGTTATAATGTAATAGATATCTCATGAAATAATAAATCAGGCCTTCCGAACATGGAGTCGACATTCTCATCTCTCCCCTCGCCCAAGAACCCCTGTGACCACTGTCACACCCAAAGGAGGAGATTTTCCTGGCTGGGAAGAGTTTTGTGGTTATGATGCAGCTCCCACACGCGGGGGCTCGGCACTCACCTGGTGTAGGAGCCCTGAGGGCAGGGCAGGCAGGAGGGCTGCCCACTCTGGGGCTGGTGCTGCCCTGGGGCACAGGGGCTGCAGGCACCGGGGTCACTGCACGCTCCCCCCGGGCAGCACGAGCAGCTCAGGGTGCCTAAAGTGGGGCAGAAAGTCAGGATCAGGAGGGCAGGACTTGACTGAAACCCCTGTGTCACCCAGGACAGGTCACTGCCACAAAGGCAGGAGCTCTGGGAGGCAGCTCCCCTGGCAAGGCACTCACAGAGGGTAGAAACTGCAGTGTACATGTAATTATGCTGCTGCCCGCTGTTAGCAAGCTGCAGACAGCCACTAGATGATCTAAGGAGTCAAGGCTATCAGTGTGGAACTCCAGTAATTAAGCTGACTGCTTTTTCCTTCTTTGAGGGGCCAGCCAGGAAAAATTTCCTTGTTTTCCCTCCAACACACAAAAAAAGATATAAAAAAGAAAAAAATAAAACCAAAACAAAAAAAAACCCCAACAAAACCAGCAACAACAAAAAAAAAAAAAAAAAAAAAACAAAACAAAACAACCCAAAAACCCCCAAATTCCAAAAAAACAAAAAACAAAACCCCAATACACTTATTCAGATCACTGATAATTTAAGCTTATAGGAAGCTGACCTGATGAGTGAAGCCCCAGAGTCAGGATCTGCCTAAAGCAGCAGCAATTTTTCTTTGAGCACAGGTACCATGGCATTCCCAGCAGGCAAGTTCTACCCCTCTCTGCTCCACAAAACCAATCCCAGCCACTCAGAGGAATTGGGTGGAATTACTGCAGCTGCACCACCAACACAGGCAAGAGGAGAAGGCTCTGACTAAGAAGATCCTGCATAAAAGGGAGGTGGGAGATAGCTCCTGTCCTCTGCAGATTCACCCTAAAGCATTAGAGCTGCTTTTAAAAAGTGCCCTGCAGCATAGGGAATAAGCAAAAATTAAAAAAAAACAAAACAAAACAAAACAAACAAAAAAAAAGACCAAAAAAAAAATCAAAAAACCAAAAAAAACCATGGCTTGTATTTTGGAGAATTATTTTCTTTTTCTGAGATTTTTTTTGTGGGAGGGGGTGGTAGTGGTTGATCAAGTATTTTCTCAAGGCCATGGAAAAAGGCTGCCTCTATAGCAGAGATTCTCTTTAAACATTCAAGACAGTTGGAAATTGGCCTCGTATTTGGCCCTGGAGCCCAGAATGATGTTCTGCCAATAAATCAAACTGGACTTGTGTTACACTTTGTGCCACAGCATGACCACTTTGTCACCCCACGGGGAAGCCTCAGAAAGACCAAAGCACAGCACAAGGCCAGGAAAGACCAAGCCTTTGATTTCAGGAGGGTGAAATTAATTAAATGCCTCTCCTGCTGCCTGTCCAAGCTTCCAAGACAAGAACAAGAGCCCTGAGAAATCCCTTTTCCTCCAACCCAGCAGCTAGGGCAGGGAGCCTTACCTGGCGTGGGGGCTGTCCCTGGGGGGCAGGGGACACAGGCTGTCACATTCTCTGTGCTGCAGTTGGAGGGCTGGGGGGTGCTGGGGGGCAGAGCTGATGATGGGAGCCCAGGGGATGGGGTCACTCCTGGAGGGGACGCTGGGACACTGCTGGATGTGGCTGCCAGCGCTGAAGTCTGAGAGGTGGGGACAGTCCCCGTGGTGGAGGGCAGAGTCTGGGCAGGGGTTTTTGTGCTTGGATCAGCAGATGCAGCTGCTGTGGATGCAGCAGGGCTTGCAGTGGTTGCTGTCAGTCCAGCTGAGAGTGTTGCAGCAGCAGCTGGGGAAGCAGAGGCTGTAGCAGGGGCTGCACTGGGAGGTGCTGGGGTGGATCCAATGGGAACCCCAGTGCTGGTTGTACTGGGAGGTGCTGGGGTGGATGGAACTGGAACCTCAGTGCTGGTTGTACTGGGAGGTGCTGGGGTGGATCCAATGGGAACCCCAGTGCTGGTTGTCTGGCCTAAAGCAATACCTAAGGGAAGAAAAAAACATAATTAGTGGTTGAATTATTGTTCTCGCTTTAATCATGTTCTCGCTTCTCATTTAGGTCTTTATCAACTGGTTAAACCATGGGCCCTTGTTTGATGTCCAGAAACTCCCCTCTGCTGAGCTCCACTACAGAGCAAGGATCTGAGGCAGCATCTGAGCATGTCTGGCACATGAGAGACTTACCAAGCACATAAATTAGTGGGTCCATGAGGCCACAAATAAGTAAATGCCAATGTCTGGGAGGTCTGACTCATGGGTGTGAGAATTGCCTGAAGCAGCCAGTTCTGTTAGCTCCTAGAGACTGTTTACTGAGATCTCATGACAATCTGATTTAAGATGCTTGTCAAGTAGCTGGCTGCATCCCATCTCCCTCAAACAGATCAGCCAAGGAGAGACATGGGCTCAGGGCTCTTTTAAGCTGTTCTGGGGGTACTTCCAGTAACCAGAAGGGAGCCTGAGGGCCAAGACTTGCTTTAATTCTGAAATCCCTCATCAGAGTGAGGATTGCTGAAATCTGTAGAGAAAGGAGGTGTTGCTGCAGCTCAGGTTGTTTTGCTGTGATACAGGGTGGACTGGAACATCCTCTGCTGGTGGAAGACATCCCCTGGCGCAGCATGGGTAATGCCCTGCAGTTTCTAACAGAGGAAACTGAAACTAAGCATGGAAAGCAGCAGGTTATTGTTAATTTAGCAGTGTGGTACTAAGCAAAGGAAGAAAAGCAGAACCAAACCAGGCAGCTCCTCCTCTGTGCCACCAGCTGGGTTCAGGAACTCAGGGGAGGGATTTTCTCAGTATTTACTGCAACTTCTGAAAACACCCAACCTTATACAGCACCAATAAGCAACTGGAGCTGCTGCTGTGGGGTGTAAATGCTCTCTCCAGCAGCACACACCTGCTAAACCCCCTTGCCAACCCATGCCCAGCGGCACAGAAAACACAAGGACTCCAGAGAAATTAACTGGTTTATGGTTTTGCAGGAGGTCAGAGAGTGCAGCTGACACCCGACAGTGGGATGTGGGTGAGGAAGGACACGGGCAGGGTGACAGGAGGGGTGACAGCACAAGCTGCCAGGTGTCAGACCCACATCCCTGCAGGCTCTTCCCCAGCTCTGATCTACCCCCAGCCTTGAATTTCTCTCTCAATTCTGTACCCACCATGCAAGGCCAGGCACTGTGGACACGACCCTGGTACAAACACCAACATGCAGACCAAGCTGAGGGCAGCTCCAGTTAAAGTTCTGCACCAGGATCAGGACAGTGGATAAAAGAGTCTTTATAAGGTTGTGATCACATGGAGACAATTTGCTGGGAGTGCTCTCTCCTGTTGTTGACTGCCTGCTTTGTGCCAAAATCCATCTCGGTGTAACTACTGAGTAAAGCAGATGAGCACCCAGCCATCTGGGCCACTGCTCAGGTTTTAAAGAATTTACAGAACAGCCTGAGTTGGAAGGCACACAGAGGATTGTGGACTCCAGCTCTTAAAGAGAATGGCCCATATGTGGATCAAGCCCACAACCTTGCATTATTAGCACTGTGCCAATAATGTTCAGCACCAACTGAACTATATCTCATTTCCTTGCTGTGGCCCTAAAACAGAGACACCAAATCTAGCAGTGATCATTTTGTAACTACCTGGCTTGCCCCAGGCTCAAATCCATGGGACAGAGGTGCCAGCATTGGTCCAGGGCAGGGAGAGCAGCCCCACAGTGCCCACCCAGGACACTCCTGCTGTGGCCAAACCTCCACCCAGGACCAAGGTGCACAATTCCCCTCATCTGACTCCCCTGCCTCAGGGGTTAAAGCCAGTCTGCTTGCTTTTTCCTCACCTCTGGCAACAAACTGAGTCAGCCCTGAGATCCATTAAACTGATCCTAACATAAACACTAGCAGTAAGGCAAGGGCACTGTCAAATTCCCAGGGAAAGTCTTTCAGAAGGACCTCTGGGATCAAAGTCTGACCTCCCACAGCTCCTCCTGACCCCAACAGCTCAACCCTGCCAGCCAGAGACACTGCACAGGTTTCAACAACTTGGGCTGCCCATAGCTGGATGAATTTTGTTGTTTTGGGGTTTTTCAGTTGAATGTTTCATTGTTGGTTGGTCTTAATGTCAAATGGTGGTGATCTTAAGAGGACTTTTTAAAAATGGAAAGCAGTTTTCCACAACATGTTACCAAAAGTAGTAAAGCTGTCTGCAAAACTTCAGTAGCCATCAATAACCTTTGGTAGCTAGTATTTCTTAAAAATTTAAACAATTTCTAGAGAAAAAAAAAGAAGTCAGAAGGCTGAAAAAAAATAGTTTTGAGCACTAGTAAAGTATTTGTGTATTTTACCAGTTATAGTCAGTCACAGGTGTGAAAACCAGTACTCAAACAACCTCAGCTTCATCAGACAAAGCATTTTCTCTCCTGTACTTACACTATGTCATGGAACAGGGATTTTGCTTTCTAGAGCCTTTTTTTGTTTTGTTTTGTTTTAAGGAGCACTGTGAATCACCTGAAGTATCTCCAGGGGAACCTGACGGATGTGTTATTTTGCATGTGATGCCTTGGTACAAACAGGAGCCTTGAGGAAGTCAGGGAAGGATAGAGAGCTGATCTTTCCCAACCTACAATCCTGCCTCTGCAAATCCTCACTCTGCAGAGTAATACAGTAATATTTCTTTTTTTTTCCTTTTCTTCCTGTAAAAGCAAATTTTTGTAATTACCGCAAGCATCCCGCTTCCACCACTGCCTGTGTCTCAACACTTCCTTCCTTCCTTCCCCCAGCCTCACCCCAGGGCTCCCTCAGTCCCACTATGGCTTCACCCTCTCTGTGCCCACCCAGAGAAGATAATCCCTGTGCTGCGAGGCCTTACCTGTTAAGCACACCATGGTTAAGCTGCACAGCAGAGGACAGAGCCAGGCACTCATTTTTCCCTGAGGAGTAACACAGCCTGTCAAGAGGCGAGATCAGCAGCTCCTGCCCTCACCCAGCTGCTCATTCTGCTCCGCTTTGGTGCCCAATTTCGTCACCTGACTGATCATGTGGCTCAGCCAAGTCACCCTCTGCCCAACAAAGGGGGATTTATATTCGGAGGCTGCAGCAGGTCTGAGAGGACACGGCCTCCTCAGGGCAGAGCACCCAGAGGAGCAGCTCTGCCCTCCCAGGCTGCAGCAATCCCTGTGAGGAGTGTTCTGGAGGAGCTGCTGGGCAGGAACGGGCAGAGCAGCCTGGGAACCCAGCCTGGCTGCGGGCCAGCCCCCCGTGACCTCGTCAAGTGAGAGGGTTTCATTTTTTAGACCCACGGGATTTCCTGAGAGAAGAGAAACAAGAAAAACAACTCCAGAGGAGTTCCCATTTTAACTGGGGCCAGCCATGCTGTAACCAGAAGTCAGAACATGGCCTCTGGAGAGCACAGAGCTTTCCCAACCAGCATTTCCCTCCCCCTCCCTCCCCATTGTCCCCACAGTGTCCAGCTTGACGTATCAAGCTGTTACCAGGATCAAGCACATAGATCCTGATGATGATGATGATGGTTTTGAGGTGAGAGCATTAAGTTTAATGGGGCCCCACCCCATTTTCCATGTGTTCCAGTGTCTGTACTGCCTGCTGGGCCACCTGAGGACACAGATGTCCCCATGATTTCCTTACCTTGTAGCCCTGCTTTGAAAGATCCCCCCTTCCCCTCTGCCCCCACTGTTCAGCAATCAGCATTGCCAAGCCCCTGCTCTGAGAGGATTTCCTTTAGCTGAATGCCACATCTCACATGTCACCTCTTTGCCCACCCACTCTCGGTGGTCTGAGGCTCTGCAGTGAGAGACAATTCCTGCAGGAGCAGCATCTGGGGATGGAGCAGCTCTGGGCAATGCTAAAACACTGCCAGCAATCACCCAGTGGGGTTTATCCTGCCAGGGAAGCTGGCAGCAGACCAGTCCCCCCATCCCACAAGCTGCACCCCCTGGTTAGTGAGTGGGGAGCTTCCCCACACTCCCCAGCCCCAGAGCCAAGTCACACTCTGGAAAAGCAGTTCAGAACTGGATGTGGCAGCACTTCCACTGTCAGTTTCAGCCTAACACATGGAAGAGAAAAGGAAATTGTGCATTAAAGCCCTTCCTGTGCCCTCAGAGCCCCCTTTCTGGGTGAGCTATCAGAGCCCAGGTGAGAGATGAGACAGGCTGCTTTCCTCTCAACTGTTTTAGCAACTGGGCAAGCTCGAAATACACTTCTGATGGGGAAAATCTAATGCCACTTCAGGGCAGAAAAGTACAAACAGACAAATTCATAAACTCCTGACCTGCCTGGGCCTGTCTCCATTGAGATTAAATGCTTTTGCTAGTTGGTTCACAGAGAATAAAAAGCAGCGTCATGGTTTGTCAAAAACAATGTCTTAGGTTGGCACAGGGCCTTGATCTTGTCAGTTCTGTTGCTCTTCCATGGTTGGCAGACCTTGTGTCCCCAAACAAACCAGACAGTGCCCTCCACCCTCAGAGCTTACAGGGCAGAGACAGGAGCAATGATGCTTCTCCCAAGTACACAGCATCCGGTGCAACCACTCCACAGTTTGTGCCAGCTCCCTGGCCTTGCCCAGCCTGGAAAGGACAGCTCTTGTCCAAGGCTGCCCTGATCCATCCCTCTGAGCAAGCAAAGGATTTGCCATCAGAGGTTTCATCTGCTGAGGGCAGATTGGATTTCTGAGCTTCCCAGGCTTTAGAAGCCCAAGGAGCACCACAGGGCTCTGCATTACTGCCTACCAGTCACCTGGGGGTCAGATCTCCTAGTGATTGTTTACAAGCAGAGCTGCCTGCTGAATAAGAAATGCCAAGCAGGAAAACTCTCAAACACCTCTTCAGTGTCACCTGTGACCTGCCACTGCCCCAGCTTTTGTCAGTGGGATGTGACTAAGTGCTGTGGGGGTGAAAATGCCCAGGTGAGGTCCCACTGCAGTGGGGACAGTGCAGAGGAGAGGAATGTGTGAGCTGACAGTGGGCTGTCACATCCATCGGCCTGAAAATGGCAGGTCACCGGGTGACTCCTTAAGGTCAGGAAGGTATTAACTGCAAGTAGAGGAGCAGAGTGGTTTGGCTTGAAAGGTACTGCTAAATATCATCTCCTTTCAACCCCCCTGCCATGGATAGGGACACCTTCTGCTAGACCAGGCTGCTTCAACTCTCATCCAGCCTGACCTTGAACACCTCCAGGGATGGTGCAGCCACAGATTCTCTGGGCAACCACTTTCAGTGCCTCACCATCCTCACAGTTATGATTTTTTTTCCCCTAATAACTAATATATATATATAATATATATATATATATATATAATATAATAATCCTGTACCTTTCCAGTTCAAAGCCATTCCTCCCTGTCCTATCATCACATGTCCTTGTGTCCCTCTCCAGCTCTTTTATAGCCCCTTGAGGTAGCAGAAGGTGCTGCAAAGTCTCCCTGGAGCCTTCCCTTCTCCAGGCTAAACAACCCCAATTCTCCCAGCCTGTCCTCATAGCAGAGGTGCTCCAGGCTTCTGAGGACCTTACTGGCCCTCCTCTGGATTCAGATCATTTTATCCATGTATTCTTAGACTCTTTCCATGGTTATCCCCCACTTCACTGCACTGTTGGTGTCCTAGGCTTAGCAGACACCTGTTGGAGTGGCAAATGACTGTTGTGCTCCAAGGAAGGCAAGGTGCAGCAAAGCTGTCCTGTTCCATGACTCCAGGGAAAATGGGGATGCTTGGTGTGCTGTGAGCACCTATTGCACAGGAATGTGGTCCTTTGGCAGGGTTGCTGAGCTAGAAACTGGGGGTGGGGTGAGCTGCTGCTGTTGCTGGGAAAGAGCAACACATTCAGGCAAACTGCAAGCTGGGGCTTTTTCTTGGAAAAGACTTTTCTTCAAGCAATATAGGTTGTGATTCCTACCCAAACCTGGCTGTGTGTAGAAGAGGTACCAGGTAGCACTTGCTCCTTCACAGACAAAAAAGCAAAAGCACTCCTAACCCCCCTGGGATTCACCACCCCACGGGATGTGCTGGGAGGCAACCATGAATCCAGACCCCTCTTTTAGGTGCAAGGTTATTCCACGATATATCCACTGACTCCCATAAAACAGGTGTGCAGGCTTTAGGGATGCTGGGCTAACAAGGAATCAACAGCTTTGTGCTCAAGAGAGGCCCAAGATTCTCCTACAGAGGTTTAAAAAAAAAAAAAAAGGAAAAAAAAAAAAGATCAAAAAAGCAGCACCACTGCTCCCCGAGGAACAGACAGGGTTTTTATGCTCTGGACGGCGGAACCTCTCCGTGAGCGAGCGGCCACGCGATGGCACCACAACGCCGGGCAGGGGACACCAAAACCGCCTCCCCCAAAATCAGCCTTTGGGAGCGGCTCTTCCCAAACCGCGCCCGCAGGAACCTCCGGCAGCCGTGGCTGTTGGGGAGGTGGAATAACGGCAACAAAACGGAGCTGGAGGAATTGAAGTAAAAAATAAATGTTAAAAGTTATTACAGTCACTCTGAAACAAAAACCTCTCACCTTTTTTTAAAAATGTGTTTCTTCTGTGCCTGGGTTTAGAAGGAATATTAAAAAAAGAGTAGAGCTGGCCAAAGGAAAGGTGCTCTACTGCAGCAGGGATCTGATGGTTTAGCCAGCCATAATCATATACAGAGGCTAGAGGTTTATATTCTCACAAGCAGCACAGAACATTCAATTCTTATTTAGTCCCCCCACCAGTGAAAAAGGTGGTCATAAATGGACCAGTGTGTCTGGGGTGTCAGTCAGTTTGAGGATGCAGGTCAAACCCAGCTGGTGCTTCAGGCAGAACAAGTGCAGGGGGTGTTGCCTGTGCTGTTCATACCTGCAGCATCTGGGGGAGGGAAGGAGGAAATCCCTTCCATCCAGGCACAGCTTTGGTCTCCCTGGCCAACAGCTCTGGATCAATGCACATGATCACAAAATTTTAGCACAGCACAAGATCAGCTTGTCTTGCCAACTCTCCTATGTCAGGAAATAACCAATTAAAGAAAATTGATTTTAATTGAAAGTTGAAAATTACAAAGGAGAGAGACTGTGAACTTCAGTGACACCAAATGATGGGGCAGGCACTAGAGCCAAGCTTACATGCTAGTGAGGGGTTCAATCAACCATTCAGAGAAAACAGTTGCTTTCTGTTTACATTAAATTTGTACCAGGAAAGAATAATTATATTATAAAACCAAATACACAGGAACCACATTCTGAAAGCCAAATAAAGGAATCTCCCTAAATTCCTCAGGAAAAGGTTGCAGAATCCCAGAATTTTTTCAGTTGGAAGGGACCTTAAAGATCATTCCATTCCAACTCCCCTGCCGTGGGCAGGGACACTTTCCACTAGACCAGGTTGCTCCAAGCCCCATCCAACCTGGCCTTGAGCAATTCCAGGGATGGTACAATGCGAGTGTCTTGAAACACAGCAGGTTCTGGAAACAGTCACCTCATTTACTTTAGAACAGTCAGGTTTTGTTTCTTGCCTCATTCTCCCTTTCCTGCTCTCAGGGGAGCCTGTACACACACCTGTGTGGCAGGGAGAGGAGTGGGGTCCCAGATGTCCAAGTTCTGTCTAAAGGCACTCAGAACACAGGACAGCATCTGGCACAGGTTTGTCCAGCTCTGGAAGAGGTCAGTGTTTGGTCCATCATCAGTTTTAAGGGTTAGCACTAGAGCAACATCCTGAGCATTAAATCCCCTACAACCTTGTACCAGCTAAGCCTCTCCCAAGTGGCCAGGGGCACAGAGATTGCTAAAACCAGCTGGGGCTGGTTCTGGCCAGGCCAGGCTCAGCAGGCAGGTGAAGTGGCACATCCCTGTTCATGTGGAGAGTATCAGGTCAGGGCACCAGGAAATCTCAGGGAGCAGGTCCCCTCTGAAATAACAAATGGAGTGTGCATGTCAGCCTCTCCTAAAGCTTTTGTCCCAAGCATTCTACCAGAGCAGCTGACCTGGAAC